CAGCAGGGAGTCTGCTTCTCCCTCTGACCCTCCCGACCCTCCCCCCTCTCATGCTCTCTGTCTCTCTCTCTCAAATAAATAAATAAAATCTTAAAAAAAAAAAAAAAGAAAGAAGGCCAGTACTAATTCCTAAGTTAATGTCCTCTAAAAATCTAGAAGTATTAAAAAATAAAATAAAATCTAGGGGCAGCTGGTTGGCTCAGTTGGTACAGCATGAACTCTCTTGAGTTCAAGCCCCATGTTGGGCATGGAGCCTACTTTAACAAAATAAATAAATAAAATAAAATCTAAAAGTGTTATTTGCCTCTTGTCACAAATGCTAAAGAACTCACTTTAAAAACATGAGACAAATGATTTTGAGGGCCAGAAGTGAACTTCAAATCTTATGTTAACACTAAACTGTAGACTTAAAATTGGTTAAAATGGTTTTATGTTAAATTTTTTAAAAATCACATGGAAGTTCTCCTCTGAATCATGCTGGTTTCCCCTTGAAACAAATAAATCTATTAAGCTACATTAAAGGATGAGAAATCATTAAATGGAATGTGCTTAAATTATAAATGGTTAAAAAGCTTCAGTGATTTGAATTAACAGAAAATTTCTGACCTCTTAAGGAAGGTGTTTATTAGATATTCTCCATCTCAAAGGAGGGTATAAGCAATGAAAAAGTTTTAAATTGCAGTAAGAGAGATTTAGTTTTGACAAAATTCTAACTAGAAAAGTAATTAAACACTATAATAAGGTATCATGCAAATTTCTGCCCTCAGGGATGCAAGAATAAGCTGTCTTGGAAGGATTATATGCAATTCTTCAGGAAAAACTGGAATGAACTAGAGAATCTCTTAAGCCTGCTTCCAGTTTTAGAATTCCAGGTTCTATACTCACAGCCCAGTAGTGTCTCTGCAAGACATTCCACCTGCAGAAAGTTATAGTAATCCACAAGTCATTTCAGTTGGCTTCAGATACTGGGTCTTTTCACCACACCATTTATTCACTTTATGTACTCACTTAGGAACTGAAAATTGACTACTTTTGTTAAGAGGCAGTTCCATCAATCTCCAGCAGCATGGCTGCCAGCTCAGGTATAAACACTACAAAAACACTTAAACTGAAACATACTTCATCCCAAATTAAACAAATAGAAATATCTACATAATGCACAATGAACTAAAGACTAGGGAAAAAAAATCCTTTATAGGGTAGGTAATTTACAAAGCCAAAACATCCAATTTAGTCAGTTCTTCAACGGCTTAAGAAGTTATTTGTTACCGGGGCGCCTGGGTGGCTCAGTCATTAAGCGTCTGCCTTCAGCTCAGGTCATGATCCCAGGGTGCTGGGATCGAGCCCCGCATCAGGCTCCCTGCTCGGCGTGAGGCCTGCTTCTCCCTCTCCCACTCCCCCTGCTTGTGTTCCCTCTCTCACTGTCTCTCTCTGTGTCAAATAAATAAATAAAATCTTTAAAAAAAAAAAGTTATTTGTTACAACAAAAAATACTTACTTTTGAAAACAAAAGCATAGTCTTTCCAACTCAAGTTTCATTTTAGAAAACTTATGGCTTTCATTTTAAAATGATGATTTTTAATTTACCAGATTATTTTCTAACAGTTATCAAACAACTGAATGGTGGTTATTTATTAAAACCCACAGCAGGCACTTATGAAGTTACAGTAAGTTAATCATCTCAAATTCAACAGGTTAATCACAGCCATTTGAGATTTTGCCAACCTGTCTTAGGATCTATCTCAACAGTGTGCAAAATTGGACATTAAATGACACTTGAAAACATACATTTCTAGACTATATATCTCTTAACACACAAATGTTTTGACCAAGTATGTATGCATGACTGTATTTATTTTAACTAGCTTTTTTTTCTTAGATGCAGAATTTATTTATAAAAGATGTTACAGAAAATTCAATTCATAAAACCACCTTTTCAGGCAGAGGTTATCAGAATTTTAAGATTCTTGACAATTATCAAATACCCTTTCAAGTTACTAAAGTGGTAAACTTGCTTTTAGGTAGAATGAAATTCTCAGTACCAAGATATCAGTTACTCCACTTTTATGTTAGGTGGACAAAGGGAAATTAACACTAATTACTGTGTTTGTGTGAGTGGTACGATTTGTTGAAGGTTTGTGAACAAATAACGTTCGACTGATAATTCAGAGAAAAAAGTCTTTATCAAAAGGATATATTTCTTTGGGGTGGGTTAGCAAATATGTGATTGTTTTACACAAAACTTTTGGCTAAGCCACAGAAAGAGCTGTATTACAGTCTAAAAATATACTTCTTTGGCTATTAATTATGATGATTTATTTAAAATAAAAATCTAGGGGCGCCTGGGTGGCTCAGTCGTTAAGCGTCTGCCTTCGGCTCAGGTCATGATCCCAGGGTCCGGGGATCGAGCCCCGCATCGGGTCCCTGCTCAGCGGGAAGCCTGCTTCTCCCTCTCCCACTCCCGCTGCTTGTGTTCCCTCTCTCGCTGTATCTCTGTCAAATAAATAAAATCTTTAAAAAAAAAAAATAAATAAAATAAAATAAAAATCTAATATGACAAATTTAGCCAGGTCAAAATAGGAATCAAAATATAATACTGGAGCTAACTGCTTTCATTAGAAAGAAAAGAATACCAAGCCTCACTCCCTTCAGTTCACAAGTAATTCTTCATTTTATAATCAAAAACAAAGAATATGACTTCTACAGCCAGAAAATAAGGTAATATGGCTCAAAGCTGAGTTATCACTTAATTGCCTCGATTCCTAAGAAGCTACTAACTTCTAACTGCTTTAAAACCTGAACCCATCTTTTAATGGCTTACTGCTTTGCTTAGAAATGTATCACACTTTGTTTCATACAGAGATGCTATCTCATTAGAATACGTGCTCTGTGCCTTTGAGCTTAATAATTTTTTATTAAGAAATTCAAATAAAATTTTTCTAATGCAACTATAATTTTTAAGTTATTTTTTTTCTTATCCACACTGGGCCTCACCTTTCACAACACCTAAAAACAAACAATCTCAGATGTTAAACACACACACCTCAAACATATAAAATTCATTACACTGGTTTTGTAGCCATAATAATTATACTAATAAATACTGACTCTAAAGAACTAAAAACTTATAGGGGCAGGGTTTAAATGGTACGACTCACAAGGGGGTGGGGAGAAATAATGATCCTCCCCTACCAAACTGGCAGCAACAATATGCCAAGTTTCCTATGCTGAACTAGTGTAAACAAGGAAGAAAAAGAGCTGGGGGTAGGAAGTAGGCAGGCAAGAGAACCCTCGTCAAGATACAGCTTTACTTCTAAATTTCACTAGCATAATACCTGTTCTCAGTATTTTCAGTAACCCCTACCAAGGACTATTTAAACACCATAGGTTGGTGTTCAGAAAACTACTGTAGGCTGTAGTCCCTCTCTTAGATAATCCCAGGCATAAAAGATAGAAGTGGGGATCACAAATGCTTCTTCAACTATAAAGACTATCTCCTGCATTGAATGCCTCAAAAAGTTTTCTAAACATCTAGAATTCAATCCCACTCTTGCTATAACAATCCAGTTTAAAGATAAAATAATGGACCTACCAATGACGCTACAAAAAAAAATTTCACATCTCACCTTTGGTGTGACCACAGCTACAAGTAAGATGAGTATCATTCCAGACAGGACTAGAAGAGGAATGGGATAAAGACTAGGCTTACAGCCTCTTTTTTCTGGCATTGCCTGAGGCATTCAGTGGACGTGGAATAAAGGGGAAGCTGGTTGTATAAGCGATGCCAAGAGAAACAAGATTCCACATGTCAGGGGACTGAATGCCCAAACACAGAGAGCAAAGGGCACTCATCCCCTGGCTTTCTGACCAAAGAAAAATGAGTTGTTTCACCTGAAATCCTTTCAAAGGAAGTCTAATGGTCTCTAGTTTATCACTCACCCTAAGTGAACTCAACAGCCCCTCCTCAGAGAACAAGCCCTGCTTATCAAAAATAGCAAGTGCTACATCCAAAGCCAAGAAACACTCCTTTAGTCCAAGTGCCATGGTCTTCTGCCCCAATTCTACAAGGAGACTCCAAGCCAAAACACTTGGTTCCCAGACTAAGCCAAGTTCTCCATTTTCCCAAACATCCCAAACAGAGCTTTATTTCAGATAAGCTCCTCTCCATTCTGGCATTCTGGAGTCCAGGGCTCCAAGCCCCTCCAAAAGTTCCGTCCTCCAAGATAATCTCCTTCCCTTCACTTTTCCTAAGGATTTTCCAGACCCTGCCCCAGGTCTAGCACTCTCGGTCCTCCGTTAGGAGATCTACTAGTAGATCCCACTCCTCCCTGGCACAACTCTCAGGAAAGTCATCTCTCTTACGGTACTCACTTGTCCTCCCCCATCGTATTTTTTTCCTTTTTCCCTATCTGTCCTCGAAACACACACACACACCTATCTGTCCTCGAAACACACACACACACACACACACACACACAATCTGTTCTCAGCTCCTAACTCCCAAGTCTCTCCCGTGTCCCAGGTTCTTCCACAAGACCTAATTCTCTCCCGGAGTTCCCCCTCATCCCTGTCTTCCTCAACTCCAACTCCATACCCCAAGCTTTTTTCCCCACTCCCCAAATTCAGATTTCCTGTGCTGTTTACTCTTAACCAACACCACAGCCCTCTTGCTCCCAGGTCTACCCCTATGCCTCGATACTCAAGTCTTTCCCCTCTTCCCACGTTTCTCGGCCCCTAATTCTCTGCAGAACCTCAGGAGCCCCTCCCCAATCTCCCTTCCTCCCCTCCTGCACTCCGTGGCCCCCCACTCCCCTCGTACGTCCTCTCTAGCCTTGCTCAGCCCCCAAATTTCTCCCATGTCCCTGAGGCTCCCCCACGCGCCCTCCACGCCCCGGGAAGGGGGTGCCCCTCAGTGCCCGCCCGGCCCGCCCTGCCGCCGGGCTCGGGTGTCCCTTCCCTTCCCCGTGGGCCCCAGTGCTGGCGCGGCGGGGCCGGCTCACCAGTTGGTCATGTCCAGGAAGAAGGCGCAGCCGGCCGGGTTGAGCTGGAAGCCGAGCAGCCGCTGGAACTCGGAGATGAGCACGTCCTTGTCGGTGGTGCCCAAGCAGCTGAACTTCTGCATCAGCTCGGGGTCCAGGTCCACGTCCATGCCCTCCATGGCTTGGGCCGGACGCCCGCTTCCCCGCCTCCTCAAAACCGAGCCGCCGCCGCCGCCGCGCCGCCGGGCCCGGGGACCGGGAGGGGGCCCGCTGCTAGCTGGCGCCGCGACCCCGCTCCTTTGAGGTAGGCCCCGGGCCTCTCACC